TGTGTGTGTGTGTGTGTGTGCATAACAGACGTTAATGGTCAGACTTACATTTGGCTGGCCCTCAGCTGTGGCTAGAGCGGTCCACACACGCAGTACATGGTCATAGCCAGCAGTGACCACCACGCTAGCCACACGAGGGTGAAACTTTGAAGCATAAACGAACGATGGGTGCGGCAACACCTTGTTCATCTTGGCACTGAACTCAATAGTGTCCCATAACCTGTGTTAACAAGAGGGGCATGCAACCCTCAGACCAAACTATTGGTTGATCAATGGTAAAATATTTCCCCATTATTATGAGTTTCCATTTGTCAAATTTCCATGAGGCATACAACAGTTACTTTAAATAAATACGTTACACAAACAATAAATTTCCCCCAACAACAAAATACATACAAAGCTTAGAACGTTGATTTTTATAACCGAATGCAATTATCATACTTGTGAATATTCCTAATACCATCAGCAAAAATAAACTTCCATGTTCACCAAAATTTACTCACATTTAGCATCATGCTTCTATTAGGGAAGACCTGGGCAGATTACCTATCGATTTTGGCCAAAAACACTTTTCGTAGCAATGCATCACTATGGATATATATAATGAATATATATATATAATTGAAGTCAACGGGGCAACTTGATTCACATCAAGGAATTACACATTAATGAATGGCTTCTCTGGAACGCATCACCCGCGTAACGCGGGGACGGGTATCACCGTACGCTGCTCACCTCACTGTGCTATCGGATGATGCGGACAGCAGGCGCGCATCGTCACGCGACCAGCACAGGTCGTAGACGACGCCCGCGTGCCCGCGCAGCCGCGCGACCACCGCGCCCGCCGGAATCTCGTAGACGATCACCGGGTAGGCGTCGCCGTCCTGGCACGCGCACGCCAGCCGCTTGCCGTCGCACGAGAACGTGAGAACGAAGCATCCCGCAGCGCCGGCGGGCAGCACGAGCAGCTGCTTGTTGGGAACGCGGCATGGCTGGCCCGCCAGCCTGCTCCACGCCGACGGCGCATCGTCGCTCGGCTTGCGCTCCCTGCGGATGCAAGGTCGGTCATCACCATCAATGCTACGCGCCTCCGACACCTGGGAGGGGAGGAGGGGAGCGTTCTAACACGAGTAACTTTTTAGCATCGCGGATCTCCGACACCTAAGGGGAGGGGACCGTTCTAACACGAGAATGTACTGCAGGAAATGTCGACATAGGTGATACAAAAGCAGTAGACAGGTAGCAAGAGCGAAGAGACAGATAGGCGGAAAGTCTCTCGACGATGTCCCGTTTATTTAATGCTGCTGCAGGGGCCCGTTCATTTAACGTTTTTTTCGTTTTTTTCTTCCTGCGAACCCAGATGACCTTTGAGGTCAAATCCAACGTGCCCAATCTTGTCTGATGTGCTCTGTTTCACATTGCCTGGGATAATGGGATTAGACGTAATCTTTGAAAATATAATTATAAAAAAATATATATTATTATTATTATATATATATATATATCTAATCTATATTTCAGTTCGTATGTAGGTATGCTGATGGCCCTATGCCCGGCCAAAACCGCCCAAGCGATCTGCATGCAATTTTCAAAGAGGCGCGAATCTCCTATACCAGGAGTGTTCCTACGAGCGTTAAAAAACTATAAATAAATTTAAAAAGTTAAAACAAGTATAAATGATAACAATTCAATAGATGGCGGTCTACAGATTAACATTGACTAACGTGTGAATCCATGGTGTACCTTAACGCGCAGTGGCCTAATCGCTAGAAACATCCATCCTCCTACATTGGATTCCGGGTTCGGAATCCCACCCGGGAAGATGCTTGTTCCTTTACTTTCGATTGTTAACGTACTGTACTTCTGCCACTTCACCGGCTAATGTCAAAATGGAATTTTTTAACTACATTTAAACATTAGCCTA